CCGCAACCTGAAGCAAGGATCTTTGTGAGGGGGCGAGAAGCGGCGCGCCCCAACTACTCGGTTCTGATTGGTCGAGATTCTGACTGATCAGACCATGCCTCCGCTCGCTGCGTAGCCTGCTCGTGGTACGACGAGGTGTTTGGTTTTTACTACTGCATTCCCAAGACCATGGTCCAATAGCTGAGGATTGGCTGCAACCACCAGCACATCATTCCGTGTGGTCAAAATACTTTTGAAACCAAAGAGTCCGGTGATGCTGAAAGGACACTTGTTGTGCACAGACTCATTAGGATTTGGACGTTTATGCCTCACTCCCTGTGTCCCAGGGCCAGGCCATCCCCCTGTGATCAGTTGTGTCAATTTGTTAAGCCGTTGGGTCCAGGAAAAGTTTCTGAAGGAAACCAAATAATAGTTATTTGGTCGTTCAGATTTGAGCGAGAGGCTAGCGGCAGGCCCCCCTATTAAAACCCTGCATTCCCCCAGTCTTATGGGTCAGGCTTCTGTGCGAAAACTCTAGGTAGGGTACCTCAACCAAAATCCATTCTTAGACCTGGGGAAACGGGACATCGTCCGGCCTCATAACTCCTTAATCAATGACATCCACGTTTTGAACCGAAGCTAGCAGGATCCTGGTGCAGTTAGCTGTCAATTACCCAGCCGTTGCTCCGCATATGAGCTTCTTTCCAGTAAAACAAATAAACAAGGCCTTTATTTATTACAGGGTCTGATCCACATGTTGGTTTTTGCCTGCATACTTTGTCAAATCAGCCAACAGACCTTGTTCGCTCTCTTAACCGATGTATTCTGTCTACAAAACATCCTTACAAGACCCCATTTCGGTCCTGCACCTCGAACCTCAAACGAACCCGTTTTCCTCGCACGTTACCCACCAGACACTCGTCTGATGCACTGTCTCGTCGTACCTGCATGTGGGCGTTGTGCTTAGTCTCAAAGCTGAATGCGCTTAACTAGACTGGATTTTAGTAAACCACTGTCACTTCACAGTCGGGTTGCTTGGTTCAATCAAGACCAGTGCATCTCGACGGGGTAAACATTGTTCACTGTGTCAGCATACTCCAATATAGACATTGTTCTAAGGCTGAGAAAGAGCTTCCGTCGAGATTTGATACGGTTGTCGTGGTCGCAAGAAGTACAGATATAGTGGTTCTGGCAGGTGATATGACATCTGAGTTTGGCCGACTAAGTTCTGAAAAATCCCACCTTGATGGCCGATTCGGAGTTGAAGCTCATCGCACGAACAGTTGGGAGCGATTTCCCCGGTTGTGTGCTCAACATAGCTTATTCTAGACAGAAAATGCGCGCACCCCGTGTGACTTGGAGGCCATCAACTGGAAACTAGCCGCGTCCTCATTTGCATCATGCCGTAACCAGTTACCGGTGGAGAGCCTCTATACAACCGTGTCGTCCATTTGTGAGTACACCACTGGACTCCGATTACTGCAATGTACGGGTACGCTTATCTGTTCGCCTCCCCCTTAGGACACGTCGGTTGGTGCGAAGGCATTCATTTCACTGCCTGTAAAACGTCTCTGCAGCCAAACGTTATCGAGCCGAGTTGTATGAGGGGCTTATGGAACTTGACTGTGATTGTGATTTTCATAACGATTGGAGGAAGGTAAAAGAAGCCATGCCGATGGCTTTTACTACTGTTCTAGGTCGTCTGCAAACTCCGATGAACACGAAGAATGGCTCTTCTTGAAGCCAACAACAAGCGACTGTGACCGTGTACTCCGGATCCCTGGAAGGAATGGCATAAGATGCTGGTTTGTCGTGAATCCCGGGAGGTGGAGAAAGCCTTTGTAGCAGGAAACAGTCGCAAACTGCTCTAGCTAATCCGACCAACTGGTTTGTGATGTTAGTGAAGTAGTCTTCGAGAAAGATGGGGCCTAAATTAATCCTCGGAAACGTCTTGAAAAACAGTTCAGCTGACCCCCATCAACTTACCTTCTGAAAAGATGAAACGAACCCGAGTGGGATGTCGATACCAGTACGCCATCGACGAAGTCCAAATGCAATCTTGTTGCTTCAGCGCAACAGTCCATCTAGTCCAGATGAGTTGTTTCCTTCAGTGTTCAAAGCTGGTAAGTCCCTCATGGCCATCTCGGCGACTTCACTCCAAAGAATCTGGAACGTGGAAAGAAGAGAGCGCCCCGACGGTGTCCTATATTTGGAAAGGGTGTAAGGGCATCGTGTGAAGACCTCCAAGGTATCAGTTTATTGGCCATAGCTTCTCAGGTACTTTTTCCTATTATCTCTCACAGGGGCAAGATGGCTCAGTGGTTAGGGCGCGAATTTACTGACCGGAAGCTCCGTGGTTCGAACCCGACCTCTGCCTCTCGACTTCCCCTGTCTAAGCTTGGGCAACCTGGCAGTATCCCAGCCCTCGTGCTTCTTTTGGATGGCATGGCAGCTAGGCACCGAAAGGGCGTTACAGCTGAACAATTACCTATCTTATTTGTAAAACGGATATTTGGTTATTCAGCAGCAATAACCGGTGGAAGAAATCGAGAGACATCAACTGAGGCGGCCCGGCCATGTGCATGGCATGCCAAAATATCGTCTACCGAGATGGGTTTTATTCTCCGCGACCCTTTCACAGTGGCGCAAATCTCGAGGTGGACAACATGCGACTTGGCAGAAGAAAGTGAAAAAGGGTAAAAGGAGTTTAAGTGTTTTTGGTGCGGTCCGCTTTTCAGGATTGGGTCCCCGTAATACAACTATGCTTAACTGTCGAAGTCTGAGCGCGCTGGTAGTATCGCAGCCCACGTACAACCGATTTTGGTGTGGTCCGTACTGTCGGTTTTTTCTAGATAGTCTGTCCGAGCGCTTGGAGGTGTAGGCAACTCAAAATACTTGCGATAGACCAGCACCAGGTCTCTCACACTTTTCTCTTTCACTTTAAGCCTTAGATGGGTCAAACAAGCTTTATGGTTGTGTGCCAATGTAGCATCAGTGACAACATTTTCTGTCTCTGGTGCTAATGATTATGATGGTGCGGATTTTGTGGCTAAAATGATGTCCTCGTTCACGATGTCCTGCTTTATGGGATAGGTAGATGAGTAACAGAATTCCAAAGCACTTGTGAATTCAAACTCGCTAAGCATCATCTGGGTCTACGCTTGTTCCGTCACCTTAGTATTTCCAGTTGCTGCAGCATCCAACCTCTTGCCCCGGACCATTTTTTGATTCCAGACTTTGGTTGATACTGGTAGTTATTTCAGTTACGTTTCTCGATTTTTCTATAATTCGGACCTTCAGACATCTAATTTTTGCGGAACTACGACATGTACATCAATCTCGTGCTTCAACTTTGGCCATTGTTTTATGCCACTACTACACGGACCCACAGTGTATCAAAACTTTAACCTCTTGGGGTTTTGTGATCCATGCACAGATTTGGTGCTCAGACATGATTTTTTCCGCCTCCCTGAGATCTGTTTTCCCATCGCGTGGACAGCGCGGCAACTCCCCTCTTTGGAGAATATTAGCAAAATTATGATCACCACCACTGTTTGTCAACCATTTACCAGACTGCAAACCGGTTCAGATGCTTCATTTCCGGAAGTGAGAATTTTTTACTCACCGAAGCCAGAGTTAGTATTACTGAGCCTATAACATCCCAGTGAATGGCATAGGTATTAGCCACCAATAATGTGAGTCACAAAAGGCATACGGAGATTGGATACAGTCGACCCATCAACAGATCCACCTATGTTGAAGCATGCCCTTCGTCAGAGTCGATTCGGTTCAATTCATCACCTGTAAACATTGTGACATGGGTACATTGGTTCCACCTGCTACAGTTCACATCACTGGCAGGTGGGAGAGCGTGAATGATTGGACGCACTTCCAGCTGTGAAATATTCAGGACAGTCGACCTGAAGAGTGCTTACCACCAGATTCCTATAACACTACACGAGAGATACTGAACTGTCTCAACAACATCTAGAAATTTCGCTCAATTTTGTCTCATTTGACTAGTGTCGTTGTGCGTTTCAGATGCACAATCGATAACACTCAGAAGGGAAACTTTGATATATTTGCAAAGTAGCCGTACGCTACCGAAACCACAGAATGATCTTTGGCCATCCTTTTCAGTTTGATTAGATCATTGCGATTCATACGTCCGGCGAGACAGTTTCTTCTTTGGGAGCCCCCTTTTCATCCAAGGCTGACCGTATTACAATACGTCGTGTCGCCTTGATCGGTGCTGTATCTCTAGGTACGGTGTCCACGCGTGAACACAGTGTTTCGAATGAGGTGAGAAAAGCGCAGTGCATATTTGTCGGAATATAGGTAAACCGAGTGTGTTTACTGGTGGTTGATCGGATGGCAGTTGATCCTTTCGCCAAGCTTGACAGTTGGCTTGCAAACGTCAGTGCGCACTGACGATGTCTCGTCGAACAGATCAACTGCAATCCGATCAACCACCAGCGCAGTGCATACCTTGGGGTGCCTACTTGTGACCATTCCTTTCAATACAACTATCATGGAGGACCTGAGGTGTCTCGGTCCCTTACTACCGGTGCCGCAAACTGCGGCTGTTCGGTCATAAACAATACACCGAGGCTTCCAGAACGACGCAACGTGCTTGTTGGACCTGGTAAAACTGTGAGGCAGTCTAAGAAACTTTCGGATGCTTTTGATGTTGTTTGCATCTCCCAAGTACCGTTATTCCCCCCTCGCTGCGCGTGACTAGAGACAGTGTAACATATGGCTTATCGATATCCGGTGGCCACCATGTTCTACAATAGTCCCAGTGAGAACTTAGAGGTGTAGGCACCCCAGGATGATTGTGACAAGTTTTTGTCAGGTTTCTATCTTGTCCACTCTTTCCTCACGTCAGCTTGAGAGTCATAACAAACCTAACATTCTTTTTTCATGCGCATCGTCTTTAAATATCTATTCATTGTCAGTGGTGTTTGCCATTTCAATAGTTCTGAAGATTTACTCTGCCATTACATCGCCTTTCGTTTTAGGTGCCTATTTGAGACACTTCTTTTCACGGCTCCCACCCACTGCTTTGTTTGACGAGTGAAAATCAGTAAATCTCTTCTATTACACGTCAACCGTATCAGTAATGGCTCCCGGGAGTTGGGGTGTGGATTTATGGGTAAGTCTGGCGATTGCAACGCGTCAGGTTATGAGAAGAAGTGGATGGGTGTCACCAAGAACGCGAATGCCGTTGCGTTGCCTGTGGTCAGCGATAAGCCTGTTTTCAGGTTGGAGGTAATGTCGAATTTCGTGCCATGGCATGTGTAGCTATAGGGTACTCGCCTAATGTACCGGAAACAGTGAAACGAATTGATATCACGGATGGCATAATAATTCATATTGATGCTTGTTTATATAACGAACTTTCCATCTAGTTCCCGATCGGAATTTTGTCTCCTTCGTTTGTACGACCGGTCCCGATCTCCGATTGACCGCTAAAATAGACGTCCATAGCTTCCATTAGCCGCTGCACTCGATTGATACCTTTTTGTCAGCCTTTTATGCAATACTCTCTTTTGAGCGTAATAAAGAATCGCTCGTTTGTTATGCTAATCAACGGAGGTTGAATGTTTCCGTGCTACGCAGGCGAGCTTCTGGGTTTGGGTTGTACCCACAGTTGTAAGCCTCCTGTCTTTTCCTCATTTGTTATCCTTACTAATTATTTTCGGCTATGGGTCCTCTCTTCCTGTGTGACTGTCTATGTGAGTGATTAAAAAAATTATCGACAACGCAAGTGTGTTCCACCTCATACTTCCATCTCCAAAATATAGCACCACTATCCCTCCGAAGGAGAGACCAAATAGCCAATCTATGCTGATCATTATTGTGGGAAATAACGGTGCCGTCGTTGTGGAGGTGATCGCTTATGTGGACTAAATTCATGAGGTTAATAAGGTAAAACACGTTATTAATGTCGGTGTAGGGTTGTGTCAGCTGTCCGGAGCTGTCACGACTAGTGTTGTTCACGACCACTGAGGATATCCGAGAAGGTTAGTTATTCTCCGGAGATTAGCTCGTAGCGTTCAGTTGCAAAACTGGTACTGGTCTGTTTTTCGTCATTAAAAAGGAAATAAAAAATATGTAGTAGTCCTTGATACGGTTTCGCTCTTGAGTACTTGACAGAACCCTATATATTTAGCCGTTTTAATAGCACATTGCATAGTTTCGAGCAACGGGGTTGCAGCCGATGGTTATTGCTTTCATTCCTCTCCGCTAAGCCATATGTTGACATTTGCATGACATCCGTATGACTCTTGGTTATGCCCCAACTATTCTTCATGGGTTTCGGTTCGCTGACACTAAGCACATTTTAAGCTCACTTCAAAAGCTACTCTACAGTCATCTGCCATATATGGACTACTCTCTTTCTCAGCCATTGGCGTATTCACTGAGATTGAGGCAGCGATCCGTAGACATGGATATCCAGACATAACAATCAGGTTTTTATGGACGAAGCTATACTGATTTAGCTGCGGTATTATGAACTCTACTGATGCCAAGCAATCCGACTCTATGTGGGCAGCATTAATGTTTGATGGTAAAAGCCACCCGGTGTACCTCTATTTGAGGGTCAGGTTCTTAAAATTGTCTGAATCAGTGCTCAACCTTTGCAACCATGATCCTGTTTAGTTTTACTTTCTGTACACAAAACCACTCTGCAAAACGGATGCACGATTTGTACTGAATGGCAGAATTGTTTTAGATCTGTCGCCGCTATTCACGTTTGCCATCCGCGAATTCGGTGTGACTTTGATGTCTTGTTGCTCCACAGGAGGTTTCTCGTGAGGATAACTTCATGACATACTAAAGAAGCACTGGCTTGACTTTCGGAAGTATTGAAAATGTTTTATTCTTTTGCGTTCTCCTACTCGAGCATTCTTTTATCCTCCTTCTCTTCTCAGGATCAGTGTGATGCGGTATTTAGGCATTCATCCGATCAGATCACTTCCACGGACATGTTGCTTCGATTACTAATTGAAGTTCAGAAGCTGCAACATGATTTTGGGAAGAAACTTCGGTATGTTATTATTTGTTTAAATATCAGTTGCTTTTTTATAAAAACAGGAAAACCGTAACCTCTTACGTACCAAAGAAGAAAGCCGTTCCAGAGGAAACCACCTACAACACATCTCTGGCCAACATAATTCAGAGTTTTGGTAACGTTGGCGCAATGTACGAGAAAGGATCGAAAGACCTGGCGGATTGTGTGATCGGCGGATTGAAGGAATTATACGATAACGAAAGGAAGCTGTTTGATACTCACCGCTCGGCTCACTCTAGACTAAATAGCACTCTGGAACAGAGTCGAAAACAGCTGGACGCAGCGTGGCAGAAGTATGTGTTGGCCTATAAGGAGAAGCAGAAGGCCTTTGATAATTCGATTAAAGCTGACAATGACATGCAGCTCCCGCGAGCAGAACAACTGAAGGTGAGTTGGTGCTGCTACGCTATGGCTAGACCGGAAATGTGGCAAGCTGTTTGAGTTCCGATCATCCCCCGAGAGAGTATCCTTCAGAGAGAGTGGGTACTAAGCACAGCGTTCTCCATCAACTTTGCCTAGTTTGTGTTCTCCCTTCCTCCGAAAAAAGTGAACTCTAGAAAATTCAAATTTTTTGCTAGTGGGAGGAACAGGTACTATACAATCATTTGAATGTTACTTTGAACGGCTTCTAAAGTCGCTAGGGATGCTTTTCCTACCGTGCATAATATTGGGTAAAATCAAGAGGTTTCTTTTTAGAAAACACCGCTCGTTTAGTACAGCCATCTGTGTGTAATGTAACGCAGTCTGTTTTCAACAAACAAGACGAGGATATGGTGTATGGATCTGCACTCTTGTCTGGTACTGCTTACACCTTCAGTTGACCCGATAGTCTCACTCGAGCAACAGAAAAAGGACAATATGACCCAATTGTGGTTTTGCATTTTCGCCTACACCTAGTTCCTTGAATTTTCCTCTGGATTTCCTTCCTATTTTGTTGGAAATTAGGGTTTTCGGCCACCCTTTGGTTTAGCTTATTTTATGCGGCTATCAGACAATGTGCCCACTGTTTTTCATCTGTCTTGAATGAGGAAATCGTTCAGCTTTAGCACACTCTCGGTGCCTAACTGCCATGCCACTCGAAGGTTGCACTAGGGCTGGGCTACTGTCAGGTTACCCAAGCCTAGACAGGGGAAGTCGAGAGGCAGGCGCCCGGTTCGAACCACGAACCTTCTGGTCAGTAAATCCGTGCTCCAACCACTTGGGCCATCTCGAATGAGATAAATAATGATAATAGTAATTCAGCTGTAGCACCCTTTCGGTGCCTAACTGCCATGCCACCAGAAGAGAGCACGAGGGATGAGATACTGCCAGGTTACCCAACCGTAGACAGAGGAAGTCGAGAGGCGGAGGTCGGGTTCGAACCACGGTCCTTCCGATCAGTGAATTCGCGCTCTAACCACTTGAGCCATCTCATCCCATCTCGGATGAGACAGGACGACGATTCGGAAGATCAAATGATGAAGGGAGCTTCTAATGCTGTAGACCTCTACCAGTGACGGCTGTCCATTTATCGTGAGGACAGTGTGTTTCTTAGAAGCACTGCGAAACAGAAAAGCAGGTTGAACATTCATCTTTGAACGATTCAATTTTGTATCACGGAGAATCGTAAATGGGGCTCGGACGTTCAGATAGTTTGTAATTGGAGGTGAGCGGCTCCAGATCCTCGTAGAATCTTTGTACCCATTTAAGCTGCTCCACAGGAGCAAGTAATTTAATGAGTACACAAGGAGATGACTTGGTGAAGGTCTACTGATCATTCTACAAGTGTTTTATTTAGTCAGTATCGTCGTAAGGCTTGTGGGAAAAATCGTCCAGCTGTGACACCCTTTTGATGCCTATCTGCCATACCACCAGAAGGAATCTCGAGGGCTGGGGTATTTCCAGGTTGCCCAAGCTAAGACAGAGGAAGTTGAGATGCAGGAGTCGGGTTAGAACCACGAGCCTTCCTATCAGTAAATTCGCGCTTTAACCACTGAGCTCGACCGGAAAGACAGAGTAGCAGTCCTGGATGTTCTATTTCATACTATTTCTTATTTCTATCGTTAGGCGGCAGGTACGATCACACGTTTGTGGATCTGCGTATGCCCCTTTATGATGGAGCTTTCGTTTTCACATGAAGACAGCATTGCTGCTTAACATAGCAGCATTATCTTTACGTGGTCGAGTAGCTTGACATGATTGGGAGCATTCGACAGGCACAAGTTAGCTTAAGTGACCTAAGAAAACGTCTCAGGATCCCTACACATTCGTCGTCAATTTCGGGACGTGTAATTTTGTGTGCCTTGATTCAAGCGAATTAGGTCATTTGACAAGGATGTGAAGAGCTATCATATCCAACTTCATTGTAAGAACCGTGATTACGGAATATAAAACATCGATGCTTCGTCGAATGGTCTCTATGGAGCGTAAGAACGGAGTTCTGTTCGAGGTGAACTTTTGCCCAATTTGTACCAGTTTTCTTGTGTATTCGTGCAAAGTGGATTTCCGTATGGGTGTACGCCGACGAAGAGATACCTCCAAAATCGTTCACATTGCTTGTGCCACAAAATAGTAGAAAATGATCTTCCGAAAACTATTTCGTGTGCGTTTGCGGATGCCGGATAACGACTTCAATCCTCCTCTAATCGACTACAATCATCCTGTTGCACAACAGCCGAAAAGGCAATTAAATAAGCTCAAAATAACTCTTTGTCTATCTGTGGGAGCACACACCAGAGTGGCAATTAGTCCATCAGAATGTCTGTCCGGTCTTCCTAGAAGTTATTGAGTTTCAAACATATCATACCACCTCAAGGCGTTGGAGTTGAGGAAACTGGAGACTTACTTATATTTTTACGCACAACTCTGAAATCCTTTGGCAGTTCGCACACGAACTCTCCAATCCGTACGCAATGCATTCAGTACACTTCGACTTTCGATTCTAGCGAGATGCTTGACCTTACTGGCTGTCCGACCAACGGAACGGTAGGATTGTTTCGTCGAAAAACGAGGGATACACATTGGTTTATCTGGCTGAATCGCTGTGGTTCTTCGTAAACGTGGATTACGTGAGTGCAATGGGCGCTCATAACAAGCGTCCAACGACAATGTGCGCCCTCCTTTGTTGCGGATCTTCAAAATCCGGCCTGGGAATTCTGGACAAAACGAGTGTTTTGCGTTAGTTTTCCCAACGTTTTACTTCGACGCGCCTTGAAGGAAATACCACTCAGAATCGATTTGAGTGAAAACTTTCCAAATCGATCGAAAGTCTTCCCTCAAAGAGATATTGAACAGGGAAGTAACTGGTCCCTTTTGAGAATCCTACCTCGGCTGATGATAAACGCTCTTTTAGACTTCTTTCCTACCATATCTCTGGGATGGAACTGTGATTGTTATCTGAGAACTGTTCTTGTGCTTCCTTTGTCAGAGATCCAACGCGCTCCAAGTGAAAGCCGATCTCTGTATGCAGTGATGTGCAACGTTGTATGTCGTAGCAGCGTTCTTCCGTTTTCTTAATAGTTCGCTTCAGTGGAGGAGACCTCCTGTCGTTAACCTCCGTAACCTCTGAGACAGTGTGTGTGTGTGTGTGTGCACTAAGCGATCCAGTCTCTCCCGTTTTAAGATATTTCACAGCACAATTAGAGGCACTTGTCCGAAAATACAGATCATTTGTAATTCTCCAAAGTGAACCACCTCGTTATTCCTGCAAATCTTTATGAACCACTCGATCCGTCCAACGTTTGCTTTTATTTCTTGCTCTTGTCAGTTACTTTAAGCGATTGTTGTTGACGTTTTCAGGCTCGCAAGGCCTACACGGATAAGAGTAGGCTGTTTGACCAAGTCCAGGGGCAGTATGCTGAGGAGTTGTCCAAATACAATTCCAACCTTCGTCAGCATTACAACAAAGGAGTGGTTCAGCTCCTGGAAGACATCCAACTGAAAGCCCAAGATCGTACAGACCGGACCAAAGAATTGCTCACCAAAATGTGCGATATACGCGATGATTTATCCAAACAACTGATGGAAGCGAATCGCATGGCTCGTGAAGCCATTCAAGTGATGGATCCACTTAAGGTCAGTTTGGATTTGTATCTTGCTCTCATCTGATATTTTAGTTTCCTATACGTCTGATTCGCACATCACGACAGACCCTTAGAACAAAGTATTAGATCAACATCATCATCATCATCATTCTCAGCTGTAATAACCGTGTACCCGTCGTACAGTGGTTGTAGCTGCCGCAGTTTCGTTCACCGGTGATTTGGGGGGAGGGGTAGGTAGCTGCGCATTGCAGGCGGGAGCTGATAAATTGGTGCATACATCCAGCACTGTCAGTGGGCTGTCAAGTGGGGGGGGGTTGAAAAGGAGCTATGCATTGAAGGCAATAGCTTTGATGCATGAGCGTCATTGAGGGCGCGACTGGGCCATGTCTGACAATGTCTCTAGCCATTGATGTGGCCCGCCTCGGGGTCCCCATCCAGGAAGACGGCAATTACCAGCGCAGCTGAGTTTGCTGGTAATGGCTTTTATACTTCGCTGCCAAGTCATTGTTTGACCACCTCTGGCTCTCTTTCACCCTTCACGTGGTTTTGCGAAAAGAGCCCTTCGAGGAAGTCGGTCGACTGGCATATGCAGCACGTGGCCAAGCCAGCCCAACCTGTGCAGTGTGATCAGTTCATCTATCGAGGGTGAGTTATTTCTCCCGAATACCATTCGACGTACTTCAGAATTGCTGATCCGGTGATCCGGCGCGCAGCGGCCAGGTTTCTAGATCAACAACTTGGGTTTCGTAATTTCATCTGTTGAGGCTACGTAGTAGGTAGTTGGTGTAATAGCGGCTAAGGCTTTCTTTTTAGTCCGCCCCCTTGCATAGTTTTGTCTTTTCTTTCACGCGCCTTTCCCTGTTTGCCGATGGCGTGAATAGGTCGCATTTACTGCACAATTTTCTCCATTGTCCATCCAACAGGACAACGAAGTTTTGATTAGACGATACAAAAGTGGAGAGATTCCGCCCGTCGATTTACCCTTCCTAGACTTGGCGCGTTGTCAGCCTGCTCTGTTTGACGGTCCCATACAATCAATGGGCGCCTACCTGCTTGGCATCGATCCATCACAGTCATGCTCTCAGCTTTCCGCTTCGGGAATTAACTCCACTGGCTCCACAGCCGGTGGTGGTTCTGGTGGGATGCTCGGAGGATTGAAGTTGGGGAAAGGAGCAAAAGAGGAGTATGCCAACCTTAAGACTCCGTTCGTCTGCGACATCAGCACCCGAGGTGTCAAAGTAAGTGTTAGATTTTTTGGTTCAACTATTATTCCTCTTACTCATCATAAACTGTCTCAACTTGGTCGTTGGTTTGTTCGCTTAGCTGGGCAATTTGAGATAAATTTAAGGCAATGGAGGTAAAGGAGGCGACAATGAGAGAGAAGTTCAGTCAAAGCTGTCTCAGTCACATGGGTCGAGAAATTAGGTGTTTCACTATTTCGGCTCGGACTTCTTCTTCGTTTTGTTCCATACGATTCCACAATTTAGACACAGTGCTCCGCCACCCACGAGATAAGGTTTGGTATAACGAAATGTCTCGTAGGCCTGGACGTTTCATTATTGGACAGGGTGAATTATAAGTATCGTATCGCTTCATCTGTACTGGTTATTCATATATTAGAGATCTGTAACAGTCGTGCTCGTGCGAGGAGTTGCTTCCCTTGCCACCTCCCCATTTTCGGTTGAAATACAGCGGCGAAGACGTGTTCCACTATAGCAATGCAGACAGCAGTACTTATTGGTAACACTACAAGTATTAGGTTGTCCTGCGTCGCCTCATTCCGCTTTTCAGTTCGTTTACGTTACTATCCACATTGGATCTGTAACACATTCCGGTGACTGGTATTATGGGACTATCCTAAGCTAAATTATTGGCCAACACAGGCCAGAAAACGCTGGGTTGACCGGATAGGATATCAACATCCCTGAGGACTTCAGCTGTTTGCGGTGATAGTCGACTGACGACTCTGCGTCATTAACATGAACACCTTTATTATGGTGTCTGCTCTTGGCTCAACGGTTTCATGAGGTGGACATGCAATTCGTAGCAGTATTTTCCAGTCCTAGCTTGGCAGCACGTTGGGCAGTGCGGTTCAGTAGACGTTGGATGACACTAGCACTACTGCCTAGAACCACAATGTCATCGGCATATCCTTGGTCTTAGACCTGGATAGTTCAGCAACGATTTCCGCACAATCCGGTCAATCACGTGCTTGATTGAAGATAGCCTTGTCGTACGCCGGCGGTTGCCGGTGTAGATAGGGAGGCGTGCGATCTAGTTCGGAAGAGTTTTAATGGTATTCGGTTAAATTGCTTGATTTTTCATGGTGAATTTCCCGTCTGGCGGATCGAAAGCAGCACGAAAGTCAATGGAGCTGGCTCTTTCGGCTGTTGGTACTCGATGCGATACTCACTCAATTGGACGGGTATGCACAAATTCGGCCTTGGTGATATGGCAAGAGACGTGCAAGTATCTTTGCAACAGCTCCAAGAAAATTGATACCGCGGTTGTTTCGCACTTGTTTCGGCCATGCTTTAGCAGTGGTGCTAGAATATAAATGCGCCTAATCACCGAAAACTTTTCCCCCAGATGGTCACTAGTCCTTTTTGACATATACGGGTATTATCACTCCATATCTGTGTTAATCAGCAGTACGCTCAAATGAGATATCGACCGTTTCACCTGCCGTTGGAGTGGCCTGTGTTTAGACATCAAGCTATGTCACATTGCCTTGATGTGTGAGCAAAACTCCTACTGTCAAACTGCTAATTCAGGTAAGGAGAAATAGCGTCAGAGCTGGTTTTGTACCCTTCTGAACCTTGAAACTTATCTGTACACGGATCAAGGTGTGTGTAAACATGCGACGTGACCGTGAAATCTGCTGGTCACGGGAAGCCAAGGAAATAGAAGAGGCCCAGAAAGCCGGTAATCACCGAATGTTATTTCAGTTGATCCGCGGCCTCCGAAAACATCCTTTGAGGGAAACCATCAAGGATCGGAATGGAGTGAATAAAGAAGAACGCCTCGACCGGTGGGTCGAATACATCGAACAACAGCTACCGTGGCCACCAACTACCACCCTTATGGAGCCCATAGTCGATGTAGAACCCTGCACAGTGAATTTGTAACCCCCTTTGGTCTCGCAGGCTTATGATCGCGTATGTTCCCTCAAGCACCACTGAGCTTCTAGTCCGGATGACCTCCAACCGTCATTGTTCAGAGATGGTGTGGGATCCTCAGTGAGCGCTTGTCTGATCTGTTTGCGTGCATTTGGGTAGAGTAGACTGTCCCAGACAAGTGGAGAGAGTCTGTGATAATACCCATTTTCAAAAGAAGAAGCCTCAGGTGTTTTTGGATGAATTGACGAAAGTCATTCCGTCCTTTGGTATGCACTTTGCACCAGTAAGTGTAAGATCATGTTCGTGGACATGCAGTCATTGAACACGCCACTTACAATCCAGGGAGAGGCACTCGAAGCTGCGGAACGTTTTGCTTACCTTGGAAGTTGTATTAGTTCCTAGTGTACTGTTTCGGATGGGGTCAGTGCACGAGTCTGCTAATTTGAGACACCTATGGCGTTAAAGTGGTATGTCTCCGAGTCTCAAGGCCGCAGTGTGGACTGTTTTGTTGTATGGCTGTGAAACTGGGCTTGATCGAGCAGCCAAACTGAGACATCTTCATGTGTTCGACAATCGTTATCTCAGCACCATTGCTTGTGTGGATTGGTGTTGGCGTATGCGTAACGAGACAGTTAGAAAGCGAGTGTTCGGTTGTACAACGAGAACTTCCACTGAAGAATGTGTCCAGCACCAGAAGATGCATTTGTTGGGCCATTTGTTGCGTATGCCGAACAATCGTTTGCCGCGGAGAGTTTTGTTTTCTGTGCCCAATTCAGAGTGGCGCAAGCAGAGAGGTTGCCAACCGCAAAGGTGCATAAAGGAGATCACGAAACGCTTGGGTGCTGTCGGTGCTACTCGCCTTTCAGGATGGGGACCGCGTGATCCCCACTGCGCCTGGCTGGAGACGCTGCAACTCCATGTCAGTGGCGTTCTTGTTGTCCGTTTCTATCCAGAAAGAGTGTCTGGAGGTGTAGGTACCTCAGAATGATTATAATAAACTAGTCTTAAGTCCCTTCCTTGTTCACTTTTATCCTTTTCTTCACAATAAGACTCAAATTAATCATGGTTGGACGACAGCGAAGCATCATTGTTGAACACTGATGTACTGTTCATGATGATAATGATGAAGCGTGACCCCTGAGCAGTGAATCGAGCGTCCTATTTGTTAACTTAGATTTGTATCAACAAATGAACTGAGTGCGCTATCATCTTGTATTGCTTGCTTCACTGCTTACTGGGAGGCTATCGCATGCTGGTAAGGTTTCAGAAAGTCCCACTAAGTTAGTCTTTCTCAGGTGTTCATCTTTTAACCAGTGGACTAATAAACGTTTATATTCCAACGCGTTTGTCGCGGAAAGTCATATTTTGCAATATCAACTGACAGCGACCGTACGTCTGCGATATGTGGGGAAATATTTCTATCTTCAAAACCGACCCAACTTAACGCAAGGCCTCTGCATCGCATACGTGGTTGAAGAACATCACAAACGAAAGTTCTATTAGAAATGCGCTCGAATCAGCAGACATGTGAGTGATTTTTTTTGAATCTCAGTGACTGTTGGAATGATTCGCGAATGCGTTACTTCGGCTGGCGGGAACAATATGCAGAAGTCATACACGGCTTACACATCCAGATGATCGATGCTGTGTACGACGACCTACCACCTTTTTGTAACGACTACACACAATCCGGACAATTTTCATCAGGTGGTGTACGATTGCTTATAGCTTTCCAGTCGTGAGGGCTGACTGTCGAATGCAGCGACTGAGCATCTTAATTCCACCAGATAGTGTGAAAGTTACCCTCGGTTCTAGACCCAGACAAGCTTGTGTCAGAAGCTAAAGACACTTTCGAAGATACAAGTAAATAAGAAAAAATCATTCAGCTATAGCACCCTCTTGCTGCCCAACTGCCATGCCACCAAAAGGATGCACGAGGGCTGGGATACTGCCAGGTTGCCCAAGCCTATACGGGGAAGTCTAGAGACAGATGCAGATGTCGGTTTTGAACCATGGACCTTCCAGCTGGTAAATTCGTGCTCTAACCATTGAGCAATCTCGCCTCCGAAGATGCGAGTAACTGGACGGTGACAGTATGAGGACAGTATGAAAAATAGCCACTGTTGCCACCAATTCATTTATTGTTTGAGCCAGGTGAGCTACTCTGTAGTTTTACCCAACAAGCCTAGTGGGCGTTTGTTGTGCATCGAATATCAACCGGATCTGTGATCGATCGAAAAACAGCCGTGGCAGTTTCCCCTTGGTCAGCATTCACAGATAAGTTAATTAGTCCACTTAGTTTCACTTTGCTCCGTGGTTTTCCGCAGTTTTACTTTGACAGTTATGGAAAGGGAACAGGGTTACCTCCCACGTAGTCACTATCTGAGTTTGTGACTTTGGACAAGGAATGGAAATCTCTCCTTTTGAGGGAGAGAGCAAGTAAAACATTCCTTGTGGGACATTTCTTGTTGCATTTTGGGAATTCTTTGTTGCCTTCTTAGGTGATTCTCATGCAGTAGAGTCTATGATTCGCCAAGATTTCTATCTTTGAAGTTTCAACTTCGAAACTACGAAATCTTTCCGGTTATCTACGGATTGGTCTTTGTTCCGCTTTGGTTAACACGATAAACCTGAACCGTGTTGTTAGAGTGCTTTTTTTCTCAACCGGGAAACATGTTTTCTCTCGTTTGTTGCTTTTTCTCAGAAAGACCTAGGGTTAGTGTCATACTTTTTGTTTCAGGTTTTGACCAAGCAATCTGTGAGATTGTTTCTTTGGTCTAACTGGTCAATCAATTTTATGGGTTATTGAATAAATTAGGCAAGTTGTTTGAGGTCGTCTAAGATGGAGACTTGTGGCTGAATGACCGATGAGAGCAATTATCACTACTAATTTATTGAAGTCGATCGATGCAAACAATGATTGTTGCCAATTTATTGAAATGACAAGTTGTCGTCACGCTAATTCTTCAACTAGTCGATTTTTTAGCGGAGAATTTTTATCGGAGAATTTTCAGCAACCTTATGAGTAGTGCATTACGAATAGTCTATTTTTGTTCGGTGGCCTTATATTCATCCGAGATTTAGGAGGATTTGTGGAACTGAGTTCAAGGTAGGAGATCCAGGAGTTCCTACACGTGGTCTCGCTGCCCGATTTTTAAGAGTCGACTGACAGTATGTTGGCCCTCATGTATGCGTTGCATCTACTCGCCGGAAGTAGGACTGACGATCGTATACTCAGGGGACGAACAAGTTTCAGGTGCTCACTTGAATAAGTGCGATGTTGATCCAGAAGTCATTCGACACCTTGCGGATCAACAATATGAAGCCACTCATCCAATGAATTCTGAAATCGGGATAGAAAGTGAAGTCGCAGTGATTCTTTTGCACGGCGATCACACCAAACGACATCTAGCTAGCACTATGGTCAAGTCCTGTTCAAATCTTGATGACCTGAATATGTGGCTGTGTGTTAGGAACCGGTATTGAAGTTCGTGTTGGGAAACAAGCGTAGGCTGAAGAAACCACTTGGGTGGGAAAATGTAAGGTTGACGAAATTCTCAACACCAGCTATGAGTTCAACTGACGCTTACACACAACACCAAATAGAGTACTGTGTGATAGGAGTTATGTAGAACCAACTCCACATGTCGTTGTTGCTTAGGGTTGAATTACTATCGCATACAATATCCGTTTTCTGTTGGCTGCGCCTCACTGTACGATTTCTGATTCACATGACTGCGATAGCGCTATTGTGAAAACGTTCAGATGAAGGCATCCCAATATGAGCGAAAAACGAACCAGAGCTAATTGACTCCCATCGCGCCGCGGACTTTACACCTTGGGTGAACAACTCATATGGTTAGCAATCAATTACTTAGAGTTCTCAGTCTTGCTGCGTTCGTCACCCATATTCGATTTTTCTCGAAAGGTGTTGGAGCAGTCCTAATGCTTTTTTTATATCTCGCATTACTTTTCCAACTCTAGCACGCGAGACATCTCGTGTGACTCACATCCTGATGGTCATCCTGAGGTTAAGAGACAGGCCGTTTCACATCTCCAACACGATGTAACAGTTGTTACCCTCGGTATAACTGTAAATGAACAGCGAATGTGTTGTGTACCGTTTGTTGTCATCCGGTCGATCGATCGCACATGTTGCTGACACATTCAGGTCGATATACCGAACGGGCTGTCGAAACTTGACAGACTGAGACGGTGAGACTTCACCGTGTGTTTCGCCTCGTACGTGTATTGACTGAACCAATACAAAACAAACATCGGTCGGTGCCAAACCATGATCGTACAGTCCAACACACTTGATTCGGATATCAGCTGATTTGAATACTGTTGGTTCACTGATGAGTCGGCTCGCTTTCGGAAGTTTTTACCCCACCGTACCTCACACGGATTTTGTTTCTGGAATTATAACACTGGCTTTACCTTAGTTCTTCATGTTCATCGTTGTACTTTGCAACAGTGCACAGAATGGTCCTCTGTAGAACCAATAAAGCAGGTGTAAAGGTGTTTCGTCGTTTATTGGGAATATCAGCAGTAACTCCGTTTTTGAAGACTCACAAGTTATGGGGGTTTGGGACGATGGAGGCTTTTAAAGACGGACTTTTGCGGGAAGGAAGTAACAAGCAACGATTTGAATCCCACACCGAGATGGCGAAATGTGAAGATGCACGCTGCAGGGCTTGGAAATTTAGGTAGATGGATAGACGTCTGTTGTGATGTCAGTAGACTCAGCGACCTGAGCATTTTAAAATTTCCAACGGGAAAATGTGATTCATCCGGACTTACTACTTAAGCCGGATAAAATAGACAGATGAAAGGTCTGTATCTTCAAACCTAGTGGCAGTTTCACTGGTTAGGGTGAAATCAAGGTCTTCAAAGGGACACAACTAAGCTAGGATGCAGTATTTGCGTGTTCGAGGTAGGAGACTTACCCTTTCAGAAGTCCATGTCTCGAAGGGTTTGAAATTACCAAACCTGGATAGATTTTTCAGAACAGTGTTATGACGACAAGGGTTGGTGGGGAGACGCTAGTAGTCCGGGTCAGTCAGCAGTCGACGCAGGGGGTTGATTGTGAAATGGTTTGGCCCGAAATAAACCTTGTAGCCCCAACGACGAATGTCAGCAAGTTCGATATTACACGCACTGATGTTCTCAGCACGCCACAACGGTTCTATATCAGTATTAAGACTGAAAAAGTGTTTGGTAGGATACTGGTCCTTGATGAACTTCTTTGTTCTCGTTCTGGGCCCGACGAACAACGTCTTCAGAATGTCCTTGAATTAGTTGACTGCACAAACGGCTTCCGGTGCCGTTGATCAATTTTGGACACCACACTTCACTGTGTACACACTGTATGATGCCAAGCAAAACTTGTCTCATCAGTTAAGCCGAATCACTGCTGAAATGTAGGCACTCAAACTGACACTCAAAACAGTTCTTCTGGACGACGAGGAAGATTCCAGAACGTTGGATACAATTGAACCACTGGAAATCAGAGGACAATTATCGGTGACTAATAGGGCGAAAATTTTTTAAACAGGTACTCCACTGTGGTTTTTGAAGACTATAAAAATTGTGGGAATGATCAGCGAATATAGAACCTCCGAGATCGGCACCGTCAGCGCTATGTGAAGTGATTCGGTCTTCACCGTGCACTAGATTTGGGTCACAATTCGTGCGAACTTGGCCTCCAACTGTTGTTCGTATGGCACGTCATGAAACCGCCTCCTTTGTCATAGGAACTTGTCGTCGTAAATTGCATAGCTGGACGTATGTTTTCGGTAAATGCTATGCCAGCTAGTTTAGGAACCTCAGTGGACAACGAATAACACATAGGGATTTTGCAGATTACTCGTCAAAGTAGGTTGAACACATTCTTCCAGATTTTCACCTATTCTGTAATTTTCAAGGCTTTGATGTAGACCAGTACAGCCCTCACGTCGAAATTGGTCAGCTAACAAGTACAGCTATTCAAAATCGAACGGACTACGGCAAATCCCCCTTGGTTATCTCAAACTCCTAAAATAATGACTGCTCACCTGCTCCCAAGCCTTTTCTACTTTTGTAGAGTGTAACCATTTGACTTTTTCCTCACTGCTACTTGTTTGTTCCTCGCACCTGATCTGCCTTATTGATCGGTTCCTTTTTGCTAGGAAAGTGACTTGACGGTGCTTCAACTAACGGAACGGCTCAGGGATCTGGCCGATTGTGTACAAAAGGCAAACGCGGAGATGTAAGTTTAGCACCGCTAACATGGTGCCTGTCAAGACTTGATTGGTTTTCAGTTTTCTCTTCACTTTTGTGTGATGGTCAGACGGGTACAGTAACCAACCCCTATATGGAGGCTCGTCGAAAAAATTCACCCTGTGACTTCACGTATCCTTTGGATCGAGGAGTCTGGACAAAACGTCCCGTACCAGGCTAACCTGGTACACAGGTGCGCGTGGTCACAAGAAAGCACAAATAAGGGTTCGACTGATGTTGCTGTCTTCCATAGGGACAAGATGGCTCAAATGGCTAGAGCGCGGATTTACTGACCGGAAGGTCTGTGGTTCGAACCCGACCTCTGCTTCTCGACTTCCCCTGTCTAGGCTTGGGCAACCTGGCAGTATCCCAGCCCTCATGCTTCCTTTGGATGGCATGACAGTTAGACACCGAAATAGTGTTAATGCTAAACGATCTTCCATATGTTGTCCGTACCCATCGTCAGATTAGATCAATAGTTGAAACTAAATGCAGAGACAGTGATGCGACCAGGAGAATAGCTTTAATCCTCTCTGAAACTGAGGATATAGTTTGATGGTCCTCCTAGGCATTTTCTGTATATCACTCTTTGGTTTACGACCAATCGATTGACGTTTGATTTATCGGTCTTTTGAGTCATTTACACCCTGGTTTTTTATGGGAGGATATCCAGCACCACAGTTGTCCACGTTTGGTGTTCTGCGGAGTGTGTGTTCGCAATCCCTGTCGAGCACAGCTGTCTTGTGCTCGTTTTCTAATGGTCACCATCATCATCCTCTCGCCTAGGTTTTCCTTTATTCTCCTAATCATTCAATGGTGCTCTCTTTATGGACCCATCCAATATAGCTAGTGTCCCTATTAGTCTTGCATTGACATCTACGCGCTGGTCGACGTAAACAGCGACAGACGCTTCGATACTAATGTTTAGCATTTCTTTGGTGTTCGCACTCTGAAGCAAGCTAGAAAGCAAACCGACCTTGTTTGCGCATTGAACTCGCTTGCATGTTGGAAATAAGAATTTGAGAATTTAAGACTCTACTGTCGCTTCGGATAGCTCAACTTCAGTGATTCAGTGACTGCTGAGAGGGGTTGTATTAGGTTCGGTATTCTTAGTAACCGAGCTGGAGGGTCCGTCCGTCTCCTGTGTACAGTTTATTTGGTAACGTCTGCAAAAACTCAAATGACAGGTTGATCGTTTGTGGGCTGTTGATCAAGCGCTGGTTAGTCTGTTCGCCGAGCTTTACGATTAGCTTGCAAGCGTTTCGTCACCACGCGGCGAGACGTCATCAATGGGTGGTTGGGTGAGTTGTCAGAACACCAGCCATGGAGGACCAGTATGCGTTGATTCCTCCCACAGAGACATGACCCGAGGGCTGGGATACTACCAGACAGAGGAAGTTGAGAAGCAGAGGTCAGATTCGAACCACGGATTCTCTGGTTAGTAAATTCATGCTCTAACCACTGAGCCATCCTCCCGCTACATATTTCCCATCCGGCTTTTTGATTGCCTATCCTTGTACGCAGAACTGGACATCCTACATGAACTGCTGACATAGTCACGCCTGCCAATAGTCGTTTATACCTTCCAAAGATTTCTAGTCAAATTGTAGTCCGTTCTTCAGCCATTTACTCTTTTCAGTACCTGAATAATGGGCTCAGTTATAGTGGTTTGAAGCGCTCAGTTTATGTCTGTGTTCCCGTGGTTACCTCTGCATAAGTTCTGACCTAGCTGTTGCTCATTTGGTAAGGTAAACAATTAGTAGGTAACACAGTGAACTATTTTATCTATTTCTTTAAATTTCAGTCAAGGGACGCAACGCCTGATGGATGCCTACCGAAACAACCCCGCCCTGGGAAGTAGCAAGACAGTTGAGCCCAAGATTGACGTGCTGAAACAGCGAATACACTCACTCCAAGAACTGATCAAGCAACTCGAGGTAAGAGCTGGCTTCCAAGAACTCAACCACCAGATGTCTGTTTACTCTGATTGGGAACAAGTTCCAGCCATTCACGCGTTTGCCAGACTCAATAAGATATGCTAGTCGATCAGCTGTAACAATCTTATGGAGTCTAGCTGCCATGCCACTCAAAGAAACCACGAGGACTATGGTACCACCAAGTAATATCATCACCGAAATAGTCGAGATGTTGAGGTTGGGTTTGAACCGCGGGCCTTCCGGGCAGTAATTTTGCGCCTTGACCGCATATCTCTCTCGAGCTCTGTCGAACTGAGTAGTCTCCAAAGCTCTCTGGATTATCTCAACTTTATCAGACAGTTCGATTCATCACTATGAGGCTACCAAATTCTTCGGATTTATCCCATCCTGTCAGACGTATAACTCCATTTCTACACACAGATGCATCAGAGAATAGGAAGCCAAAACTTAGCTGTTTCTTGATTGTGATCAGTGGTCGAAAAAGAGCGAGCAACTACGAGTTTTGTGGATCGTTGTGGTAGTTTTGAGTACTACTCACAGTAGCTGGTAACTACTCACTGCTTGGTGGGAAAGTACTAACTCCATTGGTTTTGGCCTTCGAGATGGTTATCTTGATTAACCAGACCTAGAGGCACGCAAATGAAGATTGATGGAAGACGCTATATTTCAGCGCTCAATAGGATGTGACATTTTCTCGGCGAGGTTTCAACGCAATATATTATTTACTACTTAGTGGGACTCGGTCCGTATTGCTCCACTAAACGGACGGGAGTCGTGAGAGTAGTCTGAGAAACGGCTAGCTAGAAATGATGACACCTGGTCATTAGCTCATCTTATAAACAATGACGTACACAACATAAGCAAAAAATCGTTCATCTGTAACATCCTTTCGGTGTCTAGCTGTCATGCCAGCCAAAGGAACCACGAAGGCTGGGATACTGCCAGGTTGTCCAAGCCTAGACAGGGGAAGTCGAGATGCGGAGGTCAGGTTCGAACCACAGGCTTCCTGGTCAGTAACTTTGCGCTCTAACCACTGAGCCATCTCGCCCCAACATAACCAACAGCGTCTACATTTGAAACTCAGGAATGTGAAACCAACAGCAATGAGTCGTCACTCTGGTCAGTTTGCATTCGTTGAAGAGTAGGAAGTTGAGGACTTTCAACGGGGGAAACGTACAAGTAACCGGTAGAAGGTCTCAACTGTTTCATCAGGTTCGATTGAACCCAGAGTTCACCTGGGTTTTTATCCCTTGGATAACCCACCGTAAAGACTGCTAATCCCATCTGACTCCATGCGCAAGAGGACCAATCAATGACAATAAGCTTCGTCGATTGGTGGAAGGTTTCAATGGATCGATTGGTGCAGTATTGACTTGAATAAAAAATCCATTTATCGGATTAAATGTGATCTAGTAATGATCTGAACCACCTCCAGCTGTGGCGGGAAGTGTAGGTTGGTATTTCTCAATGGAGCAGACGAACTGCTGCGACCACGAATTGAAAGACTTATAACCCTTATGTGCAAGCTAACATGACGTATCTTGAAGGTCGTCATCACTCCTGTTGTCACATTGCACGTAGTGGATCAGATGCTTGGTGTTATTTAATACGCGTGCTGATTAGTGTTCGGTTTTGGCTAGCAAATTTCAGCAAAACGGAGCAAGTTGAAGTTACGTTTGGCTTCGGACCGAGGTGGAGCCAGAATTGTTTCGTCTCTCCTGGACATGTTATGAACTCTTTCGAGTGAAGCCCATTGTCCAATACATTGGTTGGTCCAATACATTAAAACCTTATCAGATGATGGCCTGTTATCTACTGAGAAATAGCCACCACAGGCCGTGGAGTTTTGTGTTCGTCAGAGTTTACTGAGACAGTATTGGTTGTCCGTGTTCAGTTTCTCGCTCGAGGGTTCTGTTGTGTACGGTGACCTCTCCGAAGGTGACTCAAGATTACGAAGGAAGCCAGGACAAATCCTTATCTCTTTCTTCGAAGGGCAATTCACTGTGATTGGATGTCTTGATCAGGTTAATGTTCAGAGGTTAAGTTGCGAACCTGCTGAATTGATGGACCGTGGTTCGAGTCCAACCCCGGCGTCTTAGCTGCTCCTGTTGAGGCTCGGACAACCTGACAGCATCTCGCGGTCTCTTCTTGTTACATGGCAGTTATGCACCGAAAGGGCAATAGAGTTGAACGATAAGACAGGGATTTGTCAGCACAGCTAGCGAGTGGCAGTAAGTACGACCCGATACGAGATTCATCTTCTCACCATTGGTGTGACACCAGGTCATACTCTTTTGACCAGTGCGTCAACAACGCGTGTTGGAAATATCCCAAACAACAGCATGGTCCAATACATCAATCGATTGTCACCCGTGTCATAATCACTCTTTCTCCACATATGATTGTAATCTTTTGTCTACTGACATGACCACATTATCGCCCTTATTTTGTCCTGGTACTCTCACATCGCTCTCGTCCTCTTGATAAACTACATCCGGCAGCAATCGCTGACAAACAGCTGTGGATCAACTGCTCAGAGTCTGTCTGAGAGTAAAAAAATCCTTCAGTTGTAGCATCGTTTCGGTGCCTAGCTGCCATACCACACAAAGGAGGCACGAGGGCTGGGATACTGCCAGGTCGCCCAAGCCTGGACAGGGGAAGTCGAGAGACAGAGGTCGGGTTCGAACCACGGACCTTTTGGTCAGTAAATTCGCGCTGTAACCACTTGGTCCGTCTCGCTCCCTGTCTGAGACTACCCACTGTAGATTACGGTGCTCTCCATCAAGTAGGTATTTTTCGTAGTACGCTGGCAGTCAGTCAGGCTTCCTCGTGCACTGGCTCTTAGTTGGCTGAGAGAGCGGCTGCCATCATTATGACACAGACCGGGCAGTGCCTGGTGAGGAAGAGTAAATTCGGCTGTAACCACTTGGTCCGTCTCGCTCCCTGTCTGAGACTACCCACTGTAGATTACGGTGCTCTCCATCAAGTAGGTATTTTTCGTAGTACGCTGGCAGTCAGTCAGGCTTCCTCGTGCACTGGCTCTTAGTTGGCTGAGAGAGCGGCTGCCATCATTATGACACAGACCGGGCAGTGCCTGGTGAGGAAGAATAACTCCGACAAATGTAATACAAGGCGCTTGAGAGACGGCAATGTCCAATACAGCTGGGTTTGCTGGTAGTAGCTTTCATTCTTCATTTCCAAGTCTTGCTTGGCTTCCCGCTGCTCTTTCCCGACAGACATCGATGGCCAAAAACTGAAGTAGAATTATTTCGATTATTTGATGTTTTCTCCATTATAGTGTCCTCGCACCCCTTTTAAATGATCGTCGACGTGTCCCATTCTGCAGACACTTTCTCTATGCTCCATATCGCACCAATGAGCTTTGTTAAATAAGTCACCATGGATTCTCCGCATTCTTTTAAGAGGCCTGGATGCAGACCATCCGCTTCTGGTGCCTTCTCACGTTTCAGTACCGATATTTCTGACTTTATTTCTTCCGACAGCCGATTAAGATTTGTACTCCATTCGCCCGTATTCAGACCATCCGTGGTGCCTTCTCACGTTTCAGTACCGATATTTCTGACTTTATTTCTTCCGACAGCCGATTAAGATTTGTACTCCATTCGCCCGTATTCATTATCTCCAGTGGCTATGTTACAGGATTGCAGCTAAACCGTTCTTCGAATTGCTTGGCCCATCTTTCTAGTCGATATTTTTGCTACTGAATTGATGAGCCATCGTTTTACAGATCGTCATTGTCCTTGGGCCCGTCGGTCGTAACAGGGCATGGCTGTTTCCGGTAGCAAAAGCTTTATCCATCTCCCGAACTTTCAATATGCACCAGAGCTCTCGGTCTTAGGCTCTTCACTCTTTTACGCTGGAGAGATTCGCGTGCGCCATCGTACTTGTTGTCCGCTAGTGTGGATTTTCTGGCATCAGTCAGGACTGGCGATCTCGACGATATCCAGCGATCGAATAGAAGTCGGAGAGACAGCTTTGAATACCACTATCATAGCTCCTTTCACATCATTTTTCCATACTTCATCCACCTGCTCGCCACCTGTTTGAAACGTGGAGGATTTTGTAACACCTGATGGAGAAGCCTGACCTTCAAATACAGATTTAGTTACTTGTTATATGATTATGTGAGTCAGTTGCACCTCTTTTTGTTAGGTAGATTTTACCTTCACCCTCCGGTTTTCTTAGAACTCTCCCCAGAGGATCTAACTGGCGTCCCCGACCAACCTTATTTGGTTGCAAGTCATCTGGTCTCAATGCTCATTATTCCACCCCCCACCGCTGACTCAAATCAATCCCTCTTGGTTTTATGATCGATAACGGTGTTTGTGACTCCCGAACAACACTGGCTTTGTCCCTGCGCGTTTGGCATGTTTAGTCTTGGGTCAGTTGTCCGTTAGATCAACTAAGTGACCTTTGTAGCATGTATCGTTGTCCTAGGAAAGTACTTGATATCTTAGGAGTCCTGACCGGATCGAACTCAATCGAGAATTTAGTAAAAAAAATTTGATGTCTTAGGTTGAGTGGAGAAAGTCATACAAAACAGTTACCCACTTTTTCACTCTACACAATCAGAATATTGGCTTACAGTGTTGCGAGCGCTCGGTCATACCAATGTCATTCTCACCGTATTCATCACCCTTAAACCAGAGTGGGAACTCATGCATGAGGATCTATTTTCGTGGATGGATGGCGACTTGACAGCTCGGACTCATTGTTCATCTACCAACCAAGTCCATCAGACTCAACACTTGTTTGAATCACACCTACGCGATTCATGCTCCAGTCAGCCCCATCCTGGTTCTCCAGAATTCGTACTGAGACTATTTCCGATTCCTGAGTTGACTAGCCGTAGCTTGTGCGCCTCTGTTACCACAACGCACATGTGCGGGTGCCATCATTTAAGGGGGCGATTTAAATCTATCGATCGTGCCTTTGTTTGTGATCTCGTGATTCTCACTGCCGTCGCACGCGCACATCTTAGTCACGTGATGAGACTGGAAAGTGGATAATCTCGTGGCTGTTCTCCATCGGTCGATAGTATTGACGAATCATGAACTCATGTGTGGAGACGTATCTATTTTGTCTCCCGCCTCCAGTTTCTGCAAATACTCTAGGTCATTGTGCTCCAGACGATTTGAAGTCTTGGTTTATTCTTTCCTGTCATACCTGTAGCACCAAAACTACAATGAAACTGAGTAATCTAAGTCCTGGATTAGGCTCATTTCTTGTACACTCGCTCCTTACTCCTTACTCCATTGTGAAGGACACTTCGTTCGATGCAGGTTAGTGCTTCCTGATGGTATTCGGCCGGCAGTACTGCTCCAATGAATGGAACCAAGCATGCTTAAACAGGAATTCCGAATCTTCAATTGAGTTCGGCGTCAGCCCGTAGCTTACTCTGCCGTTTGGCTACTGTGTTAAACAGAATTTCAGAACACGCAGCATACATGACTGCAGCTGCCTACCCCTAACTTGATTCGCACATGGAAGCTACATTACTTGCTCCCCTGTGTCGGTCGGGCTTCCCCCAATAATCTACCGCTGGCCGTTCTGTCGAGTGTACACTACAAAAAAATCGATCGCACCACTCTTCTCTGCCGAGGGAAGCTGAGCACGTCGCTCTGACCTATCATCGGAGTGGTTCACAGTGCTTGGAGATGAATTCATTCCAAAGTCATTCAGTCAACACGGTCCGTTCGCATTAAGTTGATAATGCAAACAAACAGTAAAAACACTGTCACCAAACGACAGTCAACTTGCACGCTAGTAACTCAAGAAGCACGCACAGTCCAGTGCCGAGTTCATAACGGCGTCCAGAGGTATTGTTTTTACTCTTACAAAAGAGCGTTACTTTTCCTCAATAATAACTTTTTTCCTTGAAACCAACCGAAACTTTTTCCCCACTTGATTTCCCGAGCCACGACACGCATATACATATTTCTACCAATGGATGAGCTCAATGTGTTGAAACAGTATTATCGCAAAGTTGTCTTGTCACACAAGCTCAGGACTGAGTGAAGGGTGTAAGGTCGGCTCACACAGCGCCATCAATCCTGCTTTTCTATTTGTGGAAAATGTATTGTTTACATGCTTAATATCATATTGATGTCTGATCAGTCAGTACACTAAACGGGCTGAGTTTTCAGTTTCTCAAAGAATTAACTCATCGAATTATCGTCAAAAAGTGGCCAGGTGTGGTGGCCAAAGTGGCCGAAAACATCGAACGGCTTCTCGAACAGACCGCTTGGGTACTCTGAAAGTTGGGATGTGTTAGTATGTATCCCATCAAGATTATCAGGTCATTAGCATGAAATCTAACGGTCTGTTTACTTCTTTCGAAGTGCAACCTCTGCAAGAGAGATTACCTGTGAGAGACTATTTTCGGTGGGTATTTGAAACTGCTCTCTTTGCTCTTTTTGAAGAGGCCGACCTTTTCGAGTGATCTCTCACCTCTTCCGGGAAGCCAGCTGCAAGCACTCATCAGAGCTGGTCTCTCTTAAGTGTCTCAATAGTTAAACGAACGGGCTATTCACCTTCGGTTCACTTGAGTTTCTCGTTAAAACCAGGTTGATATGGTACAATTGGGGCTCAGACAGACCTAATGAGCCCCAAGAAAGTAAAACCGGTTGTGGACTATCGAAGATTCTTCAATGACCTGATGAGTAGTGGTCCTTTTGGAAAAAAAGCATACAAACCACCAACTGCAGCCTTTTTCATCTCGGAGCATGTCCCTGCAAGGTGGGAAACTCACACTTGTGTGTGACTGTGTGCCTTACAAATCCAAATAGGGTTATAGGATCCCGATTCATTTGAAAGGACAGTGTGTTTCCATGCCATTGTTCATATTTCTGGTTGGTGGGAGGATACATGAAGGGTCAGTGCACGAATTTCACATCCTGTTTCTTGTTGGGGGGAAGGTGAATTCCATCCCACAGAAACCTTTTAACTGGTCTTTTTGAGGTTTGATAGGTGGTCTCTCAACAGACCAAATGTCTGTATTAGAGGCACTGCTGTATTAGGAGGAACTGCTGTGATTGTACTGAACAGTCATCTTCAAGTGTCAGCTGACTTGGATTAAGACTCGCGTCATGTAAGAACATCGCTATACTAGAGTAGTCGTTGGTGGCAGAATCAAATCCAACATGGATAGGTTTGACGTATGAAATAACGACAGATTTGACTCACATAAACAGTTAATCAGTCTCCAGTTGTGGTGCTTTTTTGCGTTAGAAAGAGACTGAACCTTACCGTGGTGTGGCGGTTTGTGTACCTGGACGACCTATTGAGCTACACTAGGGGGTGTCCGCGCGACACTCACAGAGTCTCTCATACCAGGTTAGTCAGTGGGTAGAGTTCTGACGAACACAGTGTCCAGGCCCTCCAAGTTGGGGGTCGGGACATTTGTGGCGAAGTGTTCCGTGAAAATGGTGATGTACTTGTATTTCCAGTCCAACACCGCTGCCTTGCGGTCATGCCTTTGAGCCACCTCCTGTCTAGGTGTGGGCGCCCTGGAAGTATCCCAGCTCTCGTACAACCATGACATTTACAGATAACAATACTCTCATGCCACATCAACCGTCGCGTGGTGCCGTCAGCCGGGTCGCCTTACTTGCTGCATACAACAGGGCGGGTAGGCGAAAACATGTTACTGTTGACGCCTCTCTTCATAGCATAGCTGTCGCACTCCCTATCATATTGGATAAACGGAACGATTTAACTTGATATAGGCCATCCAACCCAGCTTCTGGCTGTCATTCCTTTATTGATATTTTCGGTGAGCGAAACTGTAGTATCTTGAAGCACCATACTTCGTTACACCTTTTTGGCTGAAAGACAGACTGACCGGCTTGTCCTGCAATTTCTTCCAATCCATATCTGTTCTTTTGGAGTTTCCATTATTTTGGAATGGTACCCCACGCGACACCAGTATTTAACTGCTAGTACTTATTATGCAACTCAAATACCGTTTTCTGTCACCTCGATTGGTGATGAAACGTTTGCAATCAAATTGCCCAGCTCAGCGAACAAGCCAACGACCATCTACGCCACCTGAGCTACCGACGTTTTCCTCTATAGAAAACCGTTTTCTGTGTCCAATAACTAAATCGACTTCTTCTGGAGGTAACTCATTGGTTAGATGGCGAAATTAATGGCCGGAAGGTCCGTTGTGTGAACCTAATCCCGGTATCTTGACTGCTCCCGTCTAGGCTTGGGTAACCTGGCACTATCGCAGCTCTCCTGGATCCTTCGGTTGGCACGTTAGCTAGACACCAGTGGGGTATTACAGTTGAACGACTATCGACCTCTGCGTACCTGTGTAGGGAAATTGCAACTGTTGTATCCGTCGTGCTATTGGGAATCCGTTCTTAGCTGTCCCAACTCAACTCACCAGTCACTTTAAACAATACTGATCACTCCCTTTGTCTTCTTACCCGGTTGCTTTTGTTCAAATACACATATGATTCTTTTTTCTTGGCTTTCAGGATCGTTATTCCAAAGTTGGAGGGGATCAAGCACTTAGCGAGGCTCGAACGAAACAAACCATGCTTCAGGGAGGCCAATCGGATACAGTTCCCCGGCCTCCTACACAGTAAGAAACACTGCTCTTTAACATTTGTCTTGTACATACGCTGACTCCTTGGATGAAGAAGACTAGGATCCGTTAGGATACGCATAGACCCAGATAAAGTAATCGCATTCAAGAGACCACTCATCCTACCGCTCAGTTGAAAATACTGTTTTGATTGTGTGAGGTATAGATTGAAGGTGACTCATCTGTTGTTTGTTTCTTCAGTTCCTACGAACTTGTAAACGTCATGCACTGCGAGTCAAATGGGCATAGCGGTTGTTCAGTAGCCGAATACATACGCCGTTGGGTCATCCCACACTGTTCACCACTTGCCGTCACGTTATTGATTCTCCAGGTGGGGTACCAAGTATAATCATTCGCGCTTGGGTTCGTTAGTTGTCGCGACCGCTTTGGTTTCAACTTGCTACCAACCTCGCGTAGCTCTATCTAACCGGAGGCTTATGGTTGCATTCCGCAAGCGAGGCCGAGTGTTCTATCCCTGACGGTTGCGGGTTGCTAGATCTGAAGACAATCCATGATGAATACAGACCAAATAATTATTTTGTTACTTACGTTTGGTGCGTATGTATGGTGGGCAGTCGCGTATGGAGGCGAGATGCCTCAGTGGTAGAGCGCGAATTTACTGACCGGGAGACCCGTGGTTCGAACCCGACCTCTGTATATCGACTTCTCCCGTCTAGGCTTGAGTAACCTGGTAGTATCCTAGCCCTTGTGCTTCCTTCGTTGGCATGGCGGCAAGACACCGAAAGGGGGGGTTACAGCTGAATGATTACTACTAGTCGCGTGGGCGGTGTGGCAATACCATATGGACAAGATTATCCGGTGGCTGCACCGCGAAGATCTTGCTCATTTTGACGCCATCCAGGATTATTGAGTATCTTGTTTCGTCTGCCATCGACGGGTTCCCAGTGAACCAGAGGCATCTGAAGACCGGCTGTGAGAGCATGAAAACATTTGCGGAACACAGCAGCAATGAAGAAAGCTGTCCTTCCAGACCACCTGGTAAGCGAGAAAACGCCGGAGCGCGGCACCCACTTGCTGTCTCGTCCGCCTAAACTCTGAAGCTCTAGTAGGTCAGCTTGTGCAACTAATGGTCGTGCAGGTAACCTGTACGCTCGGTTGCATACACATTCTTTCAGGTGCTAGAACGAAGTGACAAAAGTTCTGCTATGTCGGATTAAAAATTCTCCCGAACAGACGGTCAGACCAAGGATTAGTCTGCACAATGCTTACTGAGCGCGCAATATGGGTCAATAAAAAGTCGTTCTGAAGGCCAAGACCCGAGTAGCTGCATCTGTCATACGACCTGTTTTACTTTATACTTTTAAAACAAGACTGATGCATGTCTCAGGCACTCGTAAGATCGGGCGGAGAGGTGGTTGACCATCCAATTACGGCCCTAAGACCGGGTACCCAGAGAATGAGTTCGTCGACGACACTTTGGTAGTAGTCAACTTGAGTAGCCAATCCAACAGCGTCGACTCTAGTGTTTCGGACTCCTCGCTGTTGACGACGCTGAAGCTGTGCTTGCTCCGGGACTGACAATATCACCGTCGTGGTCGGCTAAAAATCTGGATCTTCGCTACCATTTGTGAAGTTGAATGCCTGGTCCTGCAGTCTGTCCATGACCGATGTCTTTTGAAACTAAGATTGGATCGACATCTGAGAGACCACTTCCCGCTGCGATTAGAGTCATTCAATGATCCTGCTCATCCTCCCTATGCGGTAAAAAGCAGCCACCAACGTCAGTGAGTTCGGTCCTAAGGGCCTTCATGCTTCGTTGCCAAGTCATGAATTGCTTGAATATTCCTATGGTTTGAAAAACAACACAGTTGCGAACATTAATGTTTTCGGGATCTCGTCATCAGGTCAGTACATATCTAATGGTTAAAATAAGAGCGAAAAATGAAATACGCTACGAAGATTGGTTAGTGAAATGCAAATACGTGGAGACACGAACGGTTGGTTGTCTGCGCCTCCCCTCATTTCGCATCTAGTTGGATGCTGTGAGACAGTGAAGAGGGCTGTTGAGTGACTTGGCCTGTTGATTCGTGTCACACGACCAAGGCAGACTTAGCGTTCGTTCGAAGTCATGAATTGACTGCTCATGAGCCATCTGTGTCCGACACAAGACCGAGCGAAGAAGGCCCTGTGAGGCAAACAGTCCTCTGGCGTACGAGTTACATGGCCGAACCAGCGTAACCAGTTGATCTATCGAAAACAGTCTGGATCACCTCCCTCCTGTTGCATTTTTCAGGGTCAATCATGTGGCTTGTTTTGGATCTTTTTTGTGCCGAACCCTCATTCGGCAGTGGTTGGATGTTTAATTTGTATCCTAGCTTGAGACTTCTGTGCCGAAGTCTTTTGGAATCTGAATGGAAACGATTCAGCAATGGCAAAAACGATAGCGGCGAGTTTGTAACCAGACCCTTTTACTTTCGATGTGGCCTTATCAAAGCCGCCAATTTCATTCTTATTTCCACCACTTTACTTTCAGAGTGGACAACTTGGACTCAGACAATTCGTTTGATTCTGACTTGGACGAAGCAGTCCCGAGTAAAGCACCTGTTTCACCTAACAAAATACCAGCAGCACCCCCTCTGGCTTCTGTGGATGAACCGGGGTCCACACCTTACGTTGGATTGGCCACGGCAATATACGAATATGCAGGTACAGTTCGAGACATTCATCTCTTTGTTCTAGTCGACGTCGCTAACTTATTGCTTCAGCAATCTCCTCCTTACTACGCTTACTTCAACTGCCGTCTCAGACGCACTTTTTAAAATCTTATTTGTTTCCAACAGAGTTTCATATGTATCCAAACATCTGCTCGATTCCCTTTCAACTCGTGACTTGCCGTAAATCATAGTCTGAGTCACGTGATAGCAGTCAGTTAGCGGAAGACAGCCCTTCGATCAGGTGTAGTTTTTACCCGGAGGAAGACTGAGTAGGATTGGCCTTATTCCACATTCGAATGCTTACCTCGCCCCTCAGCAGATTCCTTCCTTTGTTGATTCGTTAGATCGATCGTAACTTTGTTTGTGCAACACGTGATCCATCGTCTCCCATTCTTGCAAAAGTGGCATCAAATAACTGCGTTGTTTAGAACGAAATTCACCATAGCCCACGTGACCCTTGGTACTTACTGTATGCATGATAGTCCTCATGATTCACTTTGCTACTAGAGTCCATCGTTTGCGCTGCCTACGTGTATCAATCTAACATACACGTTCGTATTTACAAACCGTTTGTGGTCCTAAGATTTCATTCGTTNGTTGGTTGTCTGCGCCTCCCCTCATTTCGCATCTAGTTGGATGCTGTGAGACAGTGAAGAGGGCTGTTGAGTGACTTGGCCTGTTGATTCGTGTCACACGACCAAGGCAGACTTAGCGTTCGTTCGAAGTCATGAATTGACTGCTCATGAGCCATCTGTGTCCGACACAAGACCGAGCGAAGAAGGCCCTGTGAGGCAAACAGTCCTCTGGCGTACGAGTTACATGGCCGAACCAGCGTAACCAGTTGATCTATCGAAAACAGTCTGGATCACCTCCCTCCTGTTGCATTTTTCAGGGTCAATCATGTGGCTTGTTTTGGATCTTTTTTGTGCCGAACCCTCATTCGGCAGTGGTTGGATGTTTAATTTGTATCCTAGCTTGAGACTTCTGTGCCGAAGTCTTTTGGAATCTGAATGGAAACGATTCAGCAATGGCAAAAACGATAGCGGCGAGTTTGTAACCAGACCCTTTTACTTTCGATGTGGCCTTATCAAAGCCGCCAATTTCATTCTTATTTCCACCACTTTACTTTCAGAGTGGACAACTTGGACTCAGACAATTCGTTTGATTCTGACTTGGACGAAGCAGTCCCGAGTAAAGCACCTGTTTCACCTAACAAAATACCGGCAGCACCCCCTCTGGCTTCTGTGGATGAACCGGGGTCCACACCTTACGTTGGATTGGCCACGGCAATATACGAATATGCAGGTACAGTTCGAGACATTCATCTCTTTGTTCTAGTCGACGTCGCTAACTTATTGCTTCAGCAATCTCCTCCTTACTACGCTTACTTCAACTGCCGTCTCAGACGCACTTTTTAAAATCTTATTTGTTTCCAACAGAGTTTCATATGTATCCAAACATCTGCTCGATTCCCTTTCAACTCGTGACTTGCCGTAAATCATAGTCTGAGTCACGTGATAGCAGTCAGTTAGCGGAAGACAGCCCTTCGATCAGGTGTAGTTTTTACCCGGAGGAAGACTGAGTAGGATTGGCCTTATTCCACATTCGAATGCTTACCTCGCCCCTCAGCAGATTCCTTCCTTTGTTGATTCGTTAGATCGATCGTAACTTTGTTTGTGCAACACGTGATCCATCGTCTCCCATTCTTGCAAAAGTGGCATCAAATAACTGCGTTGTTTAGAACGAAATTCACCATAGCCCACGTGACCCTTGGTACTTACTGTATGCATGATAGTCCTCATGATTCACTTTGCTACTAGAGTCCATCGTTTGCGCTGCCTACGTGTATCAATCTAACATACACGTTCGTATTTACAAACCGTTTGTGGTCCTAAGATTTCATTCGTTTTTGAGTGATGAGTACGTGTTTCGTTAGTTCAGTTCACCATGACAGCCCTCGATCGGGGAATCTTTTCATGAGGGTGGCGAACAAGGCTTGTGTTTAGTGATTAGTCATTTTGGTGAACAGTATTATATGAAACGTACATATATGTATATACATATATGAGATATATGCGTATGAAATCAAAGGTAGCACATAAGTGCAATCCATTCTCTCCTAGTGACGGTTGGAAGACGTCGAACTTGAGTACAGTCGTGTCACATTTCACCGAAACTACTCAAGCAAGGCAATTTGCAACTCATTTACTGGGTACTTCTGAGGTAATTATGAGCTGTGCAGTTCAGGCGGCTAGCGGTCGCAAAAGTTATGGAAGCCCTACGTAAATATGAGCTCTGATCTCGAAGAAAACTCGTACGCTGCTTGAATTTGCACTGGCCTACGTTTTCACGACCTAATTTAGCTTTTTGACCCACCGGCCCATGCATCCTTTCCTTTTAACATTTGTTTCCATGACTCTTTCTAATGGTGCACACGATTTTTGTCTAGCCCCATAAGTTTGTGGAGACTTGTCCAGAATTGCCAATCCGAGGAAATAGGCCTTGTTCCCTACCCTCGTTTTCGTGCACGGGTACATTCCGTCCCTTATCTTGGGTCCCTTAGACGTCCAAGGATCTCCCCCTTAACAGAGCATTGTTTATCGATTCTGTGGCTTTTACTACTGGGCACTGGCGAAACATGAAACCCAGAAAATAAACGGGATTTCGACTTCAAATGTCACTAAATGCATATATTGGGAATGCTATGCCTTGATCGCGTGGTAAAAGCAATGAGGGTTTAGGGAGACTGAATTCCGACACAATTTGGTCGGCATGATTCAAAGGTAAGGATGACCAATACCTGTGACGTTTCCCGTAGAGATAAGTTATCTACAGAATAATATATTCCAAACGTTTTCTGCACTTTTTTTACACCTGCCGTCGAAAAATCATGTTTCACCTCACGAATTGGTATTCAAATTGGCCTGGTAATCTTTCGCACAGTATAGTTGTTCTGAATATCCAGTGCATAGGTCCCTTTCTAATTGTCTTGGTACTTGTGACGAATAAATTAACAGGGTGTCTCAGTATTGGCGTTTTTGGCCTGTTTGTTGGTCTGCCGGGCTTGACAGTCGGCTTGCAAAATTTTCACAACTTAGCGGTGAGAAGCTGACAATATCTACCCAAATACTGGCAACATATTGACACTTTTAAGGTTGATGAACACAGTTCAGCAGTTCAGAAGTACTTCTGTACCTTGAATAGTATTTCGAATGAGACGTGAGGCGACCTTCGTGCAACGTATCCAGTCGAAGAGTATGACACTTGGGCGAGTCCGTGAACACCGTCCTAAAAACAGTGTTTGACTCTACACATGTCAACTCCATTTTGTTCAGTCTCACGCAGAATGTGACTGTTAGTCTTCGCGATTTTTTTCACAACGTAGTTGCTGTCTCGTTTTTCTCCACCATCACAGGTAGTGGCTCTTCATACCTTGCTACGCGTCCAGGTGAACGTTTCCACGTCGTCCAGTTGGACACAGATAATACCGGTTGGACCTCTGTGATTTCTGAGGACGGATCCAGACAAGGCTTTGTCCCAACCTCATTCATGGACATCTCAACCTATTAATTCATGTTGTGCTTCCTCCCCAGTGGCCGTACAAAGAAACACTAGCTAAACCCATTCGTTAGTCTGTGCTATAACTTGTTCGCCATCCACGGCGCGATGCAATCCCCTCAGCCACATCGAGTTCATTTTACATACGTTCTCATCTTGTTCGAATTCAAGTACGTTCTCCTTAGACTAAAAACAGAGTTACTTGCTTACATGAATTCCGGCAACTGACTTACTCAACATTATTTTTACACTCGCTAACGTGCCTTGCTATTTCTCCGCGCCCCGTCACCTCTGTTTGTGTCCCGTTCAGTTGCGTTTACCTACCACTTTTCTATGTCAGTAATCATCATGCGACCTCCGATTTTCCCTTTACTTTGTTCTTCTATATCACCAGTCTTTCCGTCCTAATCGCACGATGCTGGTTGTCCCACTAACTTGTATCAGGCCTCACACATGCCCTGCCCTACATGATTTTCTCCTATTTTGTGCAAACTCATTCCAGGCCAAGGCCAGCACCACCGGATGAAGTTTTCCTAAAAACTGATCCGTCCTGATTTTGTCGTTCGCATGCTTTTGGTCAGTTGGTTATCCTGAACGTGGTATTTGCGTCAAACACTATTGTTCGACGCTATTGGTGGCTTTGGTGCGTTTCGGGCAATGAAGTTGTTACATCTGAACTTTCGGGAGTTTTCCTCTTATCGGTGGAGTCGCAAATCTCCCAATTATATACTACTAACGCATCATTCAATTACGTGTTGTTATAGTGTGTGAAACTCCAGCTGTTTTCCTTGGTGCTCCACGCTGCTATTCAACCTAGAATAGTTGAGTTATCAATAACTATCATTGGAAGCGATTGGTTGCCGATTATCTTGTTTCTGCTGCTGAGAAAATGCTAATCACAAGTTAGGTCAAGGACTCAGCCTCTCGGTGACCATGTATTGGACTCATGGATCCGACTACTCATGTTTCAAGGTCATGATGACCCTAGTGTTCTTAATCTTAATTAATGTCTATTCGAGACTGCGTTCTTGAAACGAGGGAAAATGGTTTGAGTTATTTAGAGAATCACATATGTGATTGGACGGTCACTTCTTAGCCTCAAAACCTGTTTTACAAGGTGGTCTGTAAGGCTTCTATATGACGCTAGACCACGAGGAACTACTCGTGATCTGGCATGATATGCTTGAGACGTCTGGATGGGCGCCAGATGTGTCCAGCGAGCCTTCCACGTTTGTAACACAAAGATGAGGAAGCTTTCATTATTTTAAAATGTGAACTGGACTGTGCAGATGATTTGGTTTGCCGGCGCCGCAATATGACCGTACACACACTGGTTGCTTCCAGGGAATGACCTACTTAGTGAACCACGAGGTCAATTGCCCTGAAGGGAATGGTCCTTTTTGGGCAGGAAACAGTGGTACTGTTTATATTTCGACTGTTCTGATGCGGGCCAATTCCACGATTGCAGCTGATGTTCTGAAGATCGTTTACTAGTGGGGTCATCTAATGGAGACTTCTGCTCTGAAGATCCCAGCAATGCATGCCGAATTTCCAGCAATCTACTGTAGAGGTTGTATCAAACGAATCTGACCACCATCGTTTTATCCCATGTTGAGGTTTTTTGTTTTGCCCTGGAGCGCGCGCTCGAAACACTTTATACCGGAATTACGATACTGAGGATGCGTATCGCTGGGTTTTCAGCTTTTCATTTGTACAGCCCCATTCTTTTGTTTTATGTGATTCAAATAACTTAACCGGACATAATCAAATCAACGTCTGTTTCTACATCGGCATTCGAGTCGTGCTACTAGCAGGTTCATCTTACAACGTAAAGCCGGACAACTAGGCAAAAAGAATCCACTTCTGACGCCGGTCTCCCTTCTGTTTCACATATCCGTTGGCCTCCCTTGTTTCTAACGTCATCCTTGTAGACTGACAAATCCGTTCGCCACCCATTGCCGTCAGCTCCAATATCTGCGGTCACCACAGCCGCCACATTCGTAGACACTTCGAAATGGTTCGTCAAACTTTGACGCTTCCGATAGTGCTTTTCTAGTAATCCAGGAGCCTATGCAATTGGTTTTTCCCGGGTTTTGAGTAGTCAAAGTGAAAGAACTCTGTTCGAATAGCAATAATCGTAGTCGTTATATCCGTTTACACTCCGAAAAAAGACAGGTAATATTCATGGCACTGAGCAGTTTGTTACGACGGGATAAGAGCTCAGATGTCGTTTTAGTTGTCGAGACCATGGAAACAAGAATAGTTAGAATTAGCGTTACTGAGACTCTATTTAATAGTCATTTTCTACTAAGATTGAGACTCACGAAAAACAGCTTCTGCAGTTTTGAGCTGACCGCAGACGGTTTTTGTGCAGTACTAATTTCTGAAACAACCGAAGCCGCTTGGCCACATGGTGCCTTTCCCCCCGCATTCGAGCTCATCTCCAACGGAGATAAATCACATCACCATTAGCAAGGGGGAGTAACTTATTTTTGCCCGTTTCTGAACAGTTACGTCGACTCGAATCACGCGCTTGCTTGTTGCCGCATGTGGCTGTGCTTTTAAGGGACGCGCAATATTCGAAAACCTAACCTGGCCATTGAGAAGCTCTTGGACCCTGATGTCAAACAAGTCTCGTCCTTTCGGAAGAGACGTCTCCTGATTTTGAGTCTTATTGGAGGGGACTTTCCGCAACCATGCACGGTGCTGAGCTCTCCACTTGTGGAATGGTTCAACCAACTAAACAGGGCACTGGATCTCGAGCAGCATCCTTAAACTGCTCGAAGTTCGAACACTTATTCATCCTGGTCGAGAGTACAGTGCCGCTCGACGAACTGTTAGACCTCAGGTGAAAAACAACCTCTGCGCGGATCGAGAAGCTTGGTGAATTCAGAAAGCTGAGATATGAGGAGGCCAGAAACTCGCAGAATGTGGACAAACTCTTCCAGCTGATGCGCGAAGCATGCCCAAAGAGGCCTTTGGTGAGCGGAACAGTGTGATAAAAATGTAGCCTGCTTATCTCTAGAAAGAGCTCTTGGATCATTTGGGTTGAACACTTTGAACAGTAATTTAACTAACCGTCTACAGTGTGCTAGCTGGAGTTCCAACCGGCCACGCAGCCCTGGACCGTGAACTTGGAACCCTCAACGACTCTGGAAATTAGCATCGCCTAGCTATTCGACCTGAGAAACTCCTATCGGCTCTATGCAGAGGTAGAGATGAAGCCCTTGTTTAGCATACTTGGGCGAAAGAAGCCTTCCAAACCCACTGGGTTGGATCGACACTAGTGACCGTTTTCATAAGAGGGTGCAGGAAGTCACAGAGGAATCAGCTTGACCCCGAACACAACAAGCAGGATTCCCATCTGCAAGGGGCTATGTGGATTAAATACTCACCCCGTCGAGCGTTGGAGCAACAACATGCATATAGGCGCCCTGCAATCTGGGTATTCCTTGACTTGAAGAATGCGTTCGAATTCGTCGACGGGTTCGTTCCTTTCGACACACCTGTGCAACAGGGCACGACCCATAAGTTTGTGAATATCATACGCACCGTGTATTCGCATAATCGTCGGTGCGTGTGAGTGTGTTGGGAGCTTTCCAGAAGATTTTCTACAAGCACTGGTGTACAACACAGATGTCCACTCTCTCCAGTTTTGCTTAGTTTCGAAGAATTGAAGCAAAATCTGGAAGTCCTCCAAAACCTCGGTGTTCAGTTCTCTCTGAGCAAAAATCTTGTCGACCTGGAATATGCAGACGAGATTGTTCCCAATTTGAAGAGCTGGAGGCGCAAACGGTACTAGGTCATCAAGTCCTTCGGCATGTTCTTCGCGCTCGCAAAGTGCAGAGTAAGGTTTCGGAACGTGCACTCTTTGAATGTGTTTCTAAATATTCAAGGATGTATATCAGAATTTTCGGAACATTATACGTATCTTGGGAGTTGCATCAGCTCAACACACGAAACTTAAAGGCCAAAATTGCATCTGCAAGTTCGCGCTACTTGTGGTATCAAAAAGGCTTATCACTGGGACCGTCACGAAGGGACTGAACCTTATCGTGGTGTGATGGCTTGTATACCTCGGCGACCCATTGAGCTATACTAGGGGGTCAATGGTCAGATGTCTGACCAACATAGTCTCTTGGTCCCTCAGGTTGAGGGTTGAAACATGTGTGGCGACTTGTTTCGTAAAAAACATCGCTGCCTTCTGGTCAGGCTTTTGAGCTAAAGGCTCTGGTTGGGTACCCTGGTCGTTTTCCTGTCCAAGTGTGGATTCAGTGAAAGCACAAAATCTCCATTGAACACTACCAAGTACCCTCACAATATCAATCATATGTAGGTTTACCGCATTGAGCAGTAGTGTCCGCAGTAGGCGGACATTTCGTGATAAGTGTTAGCTGGCAGGTCGAAGGTCAAGGCGGGGACTTACTGACCGATCCCACCCCAACATATTTTCTGCTCCAGTTTAGGCTTAGGCAACCTGGCAGAATCTCAGCCCTGGTGCTTCCTTCCGATGACGTGGAAGCTATGCACCAGGTGCTCAGCTGAAAGACGATCAACGAATATGGATGGAAGTGGATCTAATATATATTGAAATGAGAGATCTAAATACACGTTCGCTGATATCTCACTTTCTGACAGTGTGCTCTAGCGGCTGAAATACCGAGCACGCTTGCTCCCCGTCACGTTAATGCACATGGACTTCACAGCTGATGGCTACCGAACATTTCAGTTCATCACCGTTTTAGCTCTGTTTCTCTGTGTGCACGATGTCATTCTTTTGACATTTTTTCCATAAGCTGAGCAAACCGAAATCAGTGAAACAACATATTTTATGTAATACCTCCCGTGGATGGCCACCTCCCAGGAAACTGCGTGATAACGTTCTATCATCAAGAGATTCGAAACGCAAAAGTACTCCCCAGAAACATTTCAGAAATTAGCTTCACACAGTGACGCTGTCCGTTGGACTCATAAAAGTAAGAGATGAATGGAAAGTCGTTTGCAAGATCAGTGATCTCCGCAGTAACCTATCAACTGTGGGTCTGATGATACCAGAGTATACGTATTTTTGGATAAGGTATTTCGGTAACGCGCGACTCATTTGAAGGAAGCTCATTATCAAGTAAAGTGGATCGTAGGTGCACTACTTTCAGGAAGGTCAGATTCTTGAAAGCAACCACTGAATGCCCGAAATCTACTGAGGTCCTCAGTGCCGCTAGATGCTGACAGACGATGCCCCCTCAAATGCGTCGCCTCACAGCCTTGTATCGAACCCAGACAGCGCGAGTCAGCGTTGATCAAGGTCAGACATTGCCCCCGCAATGTGCAGTGCGTCATAACCTCGTACTAAAGCCAGATCGCGTGCGTCAGCACTGGACCATGTTCAGACAGTGTCCCTCCAATAAATTGCTTGGGGTCGTTGTATTTTCGCACTCGCACGCAATCACTCGTTCGGAATATGGCTGTTGTGTTCCATCTTGTGAGTCTTCTCCGGCACGAGGCACTGGAGCGGGGCTAACAGTCTGATACAACAGATTGACGAATCAGCTGATATAACAACTACAGACTTTTCAGCTACTGTTCGCTGGCACATACTGGCAGCCACCAAACAGGTGCATTTTTATGAGACAATCAGCAAGCTACGAATGAATGAACTTTATCTGTTTGTTTACATTTACTCAAGAAATTCGATCCATGTTTGTCTGGATAAACGATGAGTCAT